AGTCAGTTTTCCATTGCTTTGACGAAAGATGGCCAAGTTTATTCATGGGGAAAAGGTGACAGCCAGAGACTTGGACACGGACCAGAGGGACATGTTCGTTATCCAAAACTCTTAGAAGGCTCGCAAGGTGAGTGCAAACATAAACTGTTAAAACCCTTCAGGACGGTTTCTTTAGTGATGTTTTAAAGTTTGCAGGTTTTGTGTTCTTGACCTGACATTCCGTGAATGGACTGTCATTAGAAATTTTGACAGCCGGCTTGGTGCAGGGATTGATACTAACTGGAAAGTGGGTGTGTCTCTATTACAAATGACTTGGAATTATTCTTACCAAATTTAATTTAAACCCATTGAGTTTTACAAACATCGCCACTCTCCGTGGCAGGCACCCATTCATCACCCAGCAGGCTGGACTCAGGAAGGGTTCCCTCTGCGTGGTGAGGTCACCTGTACTTGTACTGCAGACACACTGAGACCGTGAGGGTGCGTTGTGCTGTGGGGCCACATTGGCAGGTGGGATTGGGCCCACCTAGGACGCTCTGATGTGAACTCGTCCTTGGTGGGGGATTCCTGCTTGCTGAGTTGCAAAGGTGTCCCGCATGCATTGTGGTTGGAGGGAACAGATGGAAGCCGAGGTGTGTAGATATGAGTGCCGGCGCCTTCAGTGTGGGCTGCGGGTGCAGGCAGAGAGGATGGGGGCCCCTGCAAGAAGACCCTGTAATTCTTCTATGGTGTTCTCACTAGGGATGTTATGCTGCAGGGAGTTGGGGTGGGGGCCATCAAAACTGTGATGGTGGAAGGATTTTTCTAAGGTAAAACTGGACTTTTCTGTACCACTTGGCCTAGTGGTTGGGTGATAGTCTTCATCGTAGTCGAGAACTGGGGAAGGCCAGGCAAGCTGACAAGAAAGTAGGGAAGAAGGGAAAAGGCAGCGAGAGGTACATCAGATGGACTCTTCAGGGTTCTCTCTCTCGGGGGTTGGCGGCCTTTTTCTTAAAGGGCCGGATTGTATTTGAAGCAGGTGGACCTGGCTGTGTTCCAACACTAGCGTCTTCACAGAAGCAGGTCTTGGGCTGCGCTCTGTGTGGGGGCTGTATTTCGTTGGGTCCTGGTACTACACACATTCTTTGTGTGTTTGCTTCTTTACCAAGTGGGTTTGGAAGTGGGACTTTTAAGTGAGACTTGCCAGTTCCTTTCTCCATGAGTTTTATTTTAACGCATGTTAGTGTCTTGATGACTGAGAGTTTTGTGTGCCCATACGGTATGTATTATGTTCTGAGCTTCTGAGATAAGTGGCAGAGTAATAAGTTTCCTCTGTGTCATTGAATGGTGTTTGAATTTCATGTGCCTTCTTGTTTATATTCCCCTCCATTAGTATAGGAAAGCTACGACGGTCATTCGATATAGAAATCGTTAACTTTCAGAGTACTTAAATTACTGTTGAGAAACACCTTTTGTTGTTGCTGATGTTAACTTACGGTAGGATCCTAGGATAGAATTGTTCCCCTAACTGCAGTGTGGTTTTTCAGCTGAATTCTTTTATATGTTGACATTTCTGAGAAACACCCTTTGTGTTGGCCGTGTTAGATTTACCAGGAAGGAAAAATAGAATATTTTGTGTTCCTGGTAAACACAATGAATAAGTGTTTAAATAGAAACAATGTTTTAAATATTGATACCACCTAACTCTGAGAGAAAAATAGATTTTCTCTTAGGAAGCCTTCCTCAGTGAAGAGTGTGCTGTGTATTGTTATATCTGGGATGGGTGAATATGATCTAATAGTTAATTAAAAGCACTTTGTTTCTCTCTGAATGAAAATCTGAATAAGGAGGAGAAAAAAGAACAGGTTCTTTTCGTATCCTAGCATTACGATCTTTGTAGGCTGTGGGTCCTAACAAATTGTAGCTAACAAAATACAGGAGTTCTAATAACACACCCAAAGCAAATGAATTGTGCTTAATATTAAAGCAACAGATTATCCTCAAGAAGTTAATATTAAAAGCTTTCTGGCCTGAATGGCCTAGTGGAAATACCTATCTTTCTTGCAGCAGAAGTCCTAGGCTTGAAGCTGCATCTGCATCCCTCTTTCCTTGTAGGGAAGAAGGTGATTGATGTGGCTGCTGGCTCCACCCACTGCCTGGCTCTGACTGAGGACAGCGAGGTCCACAGCTGGGGGAGCGACGACCAGTGCCAGCACTTTGACACCTTGTGCGTGACCAAGCCAGAACCTGCAGCATTGCCCGGACTGCACACCAAACACACAGTGGGAATTGCCTGTGGGCCTGCCCAGGTACGGAATATAGAGCTTGATTTGGTGTTTAGGAGGATTTTGGTTTCCAGTTGTTCATTACCAGTATATAGAAAATGCCACTGAGTTTCGTTTGTTCTTACGTCCCGCAGTTGTGCTAAACTCATTTATTATGAGCTTCATTGTCGTTTCCTTGGGTTTTCTTCATGGACAGTTATACTGTCTGTATCGAGGGGCAGTTCCATTTCTTCCTTTCCAATCTGCTTGCCTTTTATGTCTTTTCCCGGCCCGGTTGCCCTGGCCAGGACTTGCGGTGTGAAGCTGAGTAGGAGAGGGGACAGTGGGCGCCCCGCCTTGCTCCGGACTGTAGGGGAATGCAGTTCAGTCTTTCACCATCAGCTGTGATGTTGGCTGCGGGTGTTTATGTAGATGCCTTATTCCCAGATTAAGGCAGTTTCTTTAATTCCCCCTTTTAGAAGCTTTTAAAAAATCCTGAGTGGATGTTAAAATTTGTTAAATGCTTTTAATTTTCTCAAATGAAATGGTCCTGCAGTTTTCCTTCTTTAGTGTGTTAGTATGGTATATTACACTGATGATTTTTACTTTTTTTTTCTTAAACTTTGTTTTTTCTTTTTTAGAGATAAGGTTTCACTATGTTGCCCAGGCTGGTCTTGAACTCCTGAGCTCAAGTGATCTACCTGCCTTGGCCTCCCAAAGTGCTGGGATTACAGGTGTGAGACACTGCACCAGCCTGATTTTTAAATACTGACCAAGCCTCGTATTCCTGGGATAGGCATCACTTGGCCACAATTTACCACCCTATTTATTTTCTTTCTTTTTTTTTTTTTTTTTTTTTGGTAGAGATGGGGTTTGATCATGTTGGCCAGCCTGGTCTCCAGCTCCTGACCGCAAGTGACCCACCCTCCTTGGCATCCCAAAGTGTTGGGATTAGAGGCGTGAGCCACCGCGCCCGGTCCTGTTCTGTTTCTATCTTGCTAACTTTGACTTGCTAACACGTTGTTGAGGATTTTTCTGTTGATGCTCATCAGGGATGTTGGTTTGTGGTTGTCTTTCTTCGTGTTATACTGTCTTGTCTGACTTTCTGTCAGGGGGAACCTGACCTTATACAAAATATTGGCGTGTATTCTCTCTGTTTCCATTTTCTATAAGGGATTGTGTAGAATTAGTGTTATTTCTTCTTTACATGTTTTTGAATCCATCTGAGCCTGGAGATTTCTTTCTATAAAATTTTATGCCAGGCACGGTGGCTCGTGCCCGTAATCCCAGCACGTTGGGAGGCTGAGGCGGATGGATCATCTGAGGTCAGGAGTTTGAGACCAGCCTGGCTAACATGTTGAAACCCCGTTTCTACTAAAAATAAAAAAAATGAGTCGAGCTTGGTGGCGTGTGCCTGTAATCCCAGCTACTCAGGAGGCTAAGGCAGGAGAATCGCTTGAACCCGGGAGGCAGAGATTGCAGTGAGCCGGGATCGCACCATTGCACTCCAGCTTGGGCAACAAGAGCGAAACTCCGGCTCAAGGGAAGAAAAAAAAGATTTTACAAATTCCATTTCTTTAACAGATATAGAACTATTCAGATTACCTGTTTGTTTCTAGGAAGATTTTCCTGGTTTGTGGCGCTCAGACATTGCTTTACTTATCTACGTTGTCTGATTTTTACATGTCTAGTTTTCCGTGGTGTTCTCTTGCTAACCTGTCTGACGTCTGTGAGGCCGGCAGTGATGTCCCTTCATTCATTCCTGATACTGGTAAGTTGTATCTTTTCTGTTTTTTTCTTTCTCAATTTCGCTAGTTTTTCAATTTTGTTGATCTTTTCAAAGAACAATCTTTTAGTTTCATTAATTGTTCCCTTGCTTTTTGCTTTCAATCTCATTGATTTCCGCTTTTATCTTGTCATTTGTCCCTTTGGCTTGTTTTGCGTTCACTTTGCTCTTTTTCTAGTTTCTTGAGGTGGAAACGTAGATTGCTGATTTACGAGAATGGAGGTCCGCCTTGGTTGCCCAAGGCTCTTGGAAGTGCGTGTTCGAACCTCGGCTCCCACTCCAAGCTCCCGCTCCCCGGGTTCACCTTTGCCAATTCTCCTGCCTCAGCCTCTGTCCAGTAGCTTCTTCCAGGAAAGTACAGCCCCACTCCACGCTGCACTCCGCTCTAAGCTTTTTTGGTATTTTAGTAGTAGACGGGGTGTTCCATGTTACATGCCTGTCATGAAGGTCCTCGATCTGACCTGACCTTTCCGTGAGTCGCCTCTGCCTTGCCATCCTCCAAGTTCTGGATTACAGCGGAGCTCACCGCGCCTCGAAACCATTACATTATTACCTTTTAAAGCACATACCAGATAGTTGCTAAAGACATTAATCCTGACATAAAATCTAACACATTTAAAAAAAGAAATCCATATACAGTGGTTTTCCTAAGAAAATCATTACACGAACAATTCTGAAAAACATTTCAACATTAAATACATATCTATAATATTCCCATGGTCAGGTTGGTGCAGTAGCCCACGCCTGTAAATTCCCAACACTGGTGAGGCAAGCGGGTGGATCACCTGGGCCAGAGTTCAAGATAGCCTTCCAATCATGGAGAAACCCCATCTCGATGAAATACAAAAAATTTAGCTGGGGCATGGGGCGGGCAACCTGTATTCCAGCCTATTACCCAGGAGGGTGCTGAGCAGGAGAATCCAACTTGTAACCCGCAAGACAGGAGGTGCAAGTGAGCCCGAGATCCATGGTCAATTGCACTCCACCAGCTGTGGCAAACAACGACGAAACTCCATTCTCTGAAAATAAAAACATAATAACAATAACCCCATAGGGGTCAAGACAAATTCCTAATGAGCAAATTACATGAAAAATTTGAACATATAAAAAAAAATGAAACAATTGGGCTTCACCAAGAGAGTTGTTTAATTAAAGCCAGCTGCCAAGTAAA